CCAAGACTGAGTATTTGGAAGAGCCTAAGGAGTTGTAGGGCATCCTGGCTCTGCTCATGGTAGCTTCTGTAGCCTTCCAGGGCCCGCTGGAATTTACATGGACTCTACCAGGTCCTCAGATCTGCCTCTCTCCCCAGGAAAATTACAACATGGAACAAGGACTCCAGGGGCACACATGAGAATGTCAGCCTCACCACAAAGCTGGTGCTGCCCCTACCCTCAGCCATGTGGGATAAAATCCAAGCCCACAGGCTACAGAACAGGTGCCCAGGACATTAAGGGACCAACTCCACACACCACACAGGCAGCACCTGTCCTGGGAACAGGTATACTCAGGCCAAAAATGCAAACGTGTCAAGAATGCAGGAACTCCAAAGACTCAATCCAAAAATGGGCATCTGAGATGAATGTGCACTTTTCAGATGAAGAAATAGTATTGGCGAATAAATATATGAAAAAATGTTCACCATCATTAGTCTTTCGAGAAATGCAAATTAAAACAACACCAAGAGTCCATCTCACCCCAGAAAGAATGGCTATCATTAAGAAATCAACCAATGACAAATGCTGGAGAGGCTGTGGGGGAAAAGGAACACTTCTCCACTGCTGGTGGGAATGTAGATTGGTGAAACCACTGTGGAAATCAGTATGGAGATCACAAAACTAGGATTAGAAGTCCCATTTAACCCAGCTATTCTCCTTTTGGGTATTTTTCCAGAAGAATTAAAAACATACCACAGTGATATATGTGCACCCATGTTTATAGCAGTGCAATTTGTCATAGCTAAATCTTGGAAACAACTCAAATGCCCATCAATCGAGGAGTGGGTAAAAAAGATGTAGTATTTTTATACAATGGAGTATTACTCAGCTATAAAAAAAGATAAACTTGAGGCTTTTGTAGGTAAATGGATGCAAGTAGAGACCACACTCATGACTGAAATAAATAGGACCCACATGTTTAAACATCATATTGTCTCCCTAGTGTAAGAACATGAAAGAGTAAATAAAATCCAAAATGTACAGTAGATAATATGAAAGGGAAAGAAATTGCTCAAAGGAACAACTGGAATGAAGGAAAGAAGAAAAAGAAAGAAAACAGTAAGGCAATATGTATACACATATGGATAGCTGGGATAATTGTACTGCTGATGTGTGGTGGTCTATTGAAAGAAACAGTTAATGCTTAAATTTTTTTTATATATTTTGATCAATTTTGCATACTTATATCTGGTAATCTGAGCAACATGTGTGAAGACAACAATATGCAATATAACAACCATTGGTGAATTCCTACTATTCTGTCTAGTGAAACTCCGTATTGTCTGTAATGTTTTTTTAAATTATTATTTTCTTATTCTCTTTAATGATTTGATCAATCTTCCATTCTTACATCTGGTAATCTGAGCAACCTCGTTGAAGATAACAATATGTAATATAACAGCCACTGTTAATTCCTATCATTTGGTTTGAAGCCCTGTATCATTTTTAATATCCTTGCTTTGCTTCTTTTTTTTAATTTTACTATTCTCTTTAAAAAGAAAAAAATGAAGAATGCAGGAACTCTTGGGCCTTTCTAGAACTCTGGGGCTTGAGAGGCTTGCTGTGTGCACATGCAGGTGCACACATACATGCAAGGAGGTCTGGATCTGACAGAGGTGACCTGAGCCAAGTAGCAGGCCCCAGGGCCTTGTAGGACCCTCCAAGACTCTCTAGGCTCCTGTGGTTCAGCTGAGCCTTGCAGTGGGTGATGACGATAGGCCAAGGGCTCCCTTGCCACATTCCTCCTTGAGGTCAGCAGGGAGCAGCCTTTTACATGCCCACAATATCTACACATTGGGTCTAAGTCCCAGGGCAGGTGGGGCCCTACTCTAGGCCAGAGTGACCTTTGGAACTTAGTCAGATGCATCCTACAGGGTTGGGTGGGGCTGCAGACAACCCCACCTTCCTGGGTGAGAAGCCCTGAGCAGGTGACTAGGGCAGTGAGGACCTCAGTGCAGGGGACATTAGAGGCCAGGAGTTTCGTTCTGGAGCAAGTACCCATCACTGGCAAGAGAGTCTTAGGTCTAGTGCCTTCATGGGCACCAGGATACAGATAAGGAAACAGTTTCTGAGTCAGGCCCCAAAGGCTGTACAGCCCTAACAGCACAGCTGGCCAAGTCTCCCTGTCTCTGATTCCTGAGTCTCAACTGCTGGTGAGCAACAGAACTGCCTCACTGGCTGAGATCCAGTAGGCGATCTTGGCAAAAGGTTCTGAGGAAAATCCATTTAGCTATTGAAGAAGCTCCCTTGGCTACCCCATGGACAGCTGTCCCTTTCTGGTGCCCCCAATGGGTCTCTACCCTTATGAAGGTGCCACATCGCAGTATACCTGGGTGAAGAATATACCCCAGATCTTGATTTCCCATCTTCCTAAACCTGGAGCATGTCAGGGTCACACTAAGAGGTCATAATGTGGGGTGCTAAAAGGTAGTCAGACAAGTGCCTTGTGACTATTGAATGTTCACACAGTGTAGAGGATGAGATGGATGAAGCCTCAGGTTTTGTGGAACATGTCGTCACAGTCACCTCTAAGTCACACTGTTTCTTAAAATGGCTCACCTTTGGAGGAAGCCAGCAGGTTCTACTGCAACAGAGTGTCTGGTGAGAGTCTTTTTGAGAGATTTCAGTAAAAAGTGGGCAATAACAAAACTTGTAGGCACTGCAGGATATGTATGATCCTGTTCCTGGGATCTGTCTGGCTGGACAGCCCATGTGGCTTCCTGATGCCTTAGTGGTGTGGTCTTGGGACCAAGGCCTGCCACTGGCCCCTGACAGAGAACCAGGCCAGCCAATATACCTGCTCACCTGAGATGGTGAGGGCTGTGGCCCAGGCTGCTGGAAGGAGCTAAGGCCAGCAAGCCCTATTCCTGCTGCATGGTGTCTGGGTTAGGACTATAAATTCATGCTATTTCCTACTGAAAGAAGCTTTTAAGCAAATGTAGCATATTCAACTTGTTTTAATAAGAAACGCTTTAAATTTTACCCTATAATCATGTGGTTTTCATTTTTTAAAGTCTGAAAAAATTTAACATCATCTGACTTATTCTATGATTTTGGCTGTATCAGCTGGTATGTGGTGTGAAAATGCCTGTGAAAGTTTCCTTGGAAGATTTGTAGGTCTGTGCTGCCAAATGTTTGAACCATTCAGCAGACTTAGGTAGATCCATTTATATTAAAGTTAGAAATACCTAGGGAATTTAATTAATCAAGTTCTTCATGTTTGTGAAATATCTAAAAAGTTTAGAGATTTAATGTATCAAATATATAAGCCAATGGAAAATTAAAAATAAGTGAAAGTGTGTTTTCACATTAACACAAAATTAACAGATTTATAAATAAGATTTTAAGTTGAGTTTGCAAGATTGAGAGAAGCTGTTTTTAAGTTTATGATTATAAAACGTATTTCAAGCCAGTAATACTACCTCTAGGAATCTACCATGAAGGTAAATCTCCAACAATAAAAATACACATGAATAAATTAGTTGTGGCAAAATTACTTGCAAATTATGGTCATCCACCCATGGAGTTCTTTGCAACCATGAAAAGAATGAAGAAAAGTCTCAGATGTCTAGCATGTGGTTTTTTGAGATAATTTTCTTAAGTCAATAAATTGCTTAGGTTGGGCTTGAATTTGCAATCCTCCTGCCACAGCCTCTTAGGCTGCTTGGACTATACACATGTGCCACCATGCCCAGCTAGCATGTGTTCCCCCTCCTCCCAGCCTACTGGACCACCTGTATTTCAGGGCATGCCAATTCTGCCTGATTCTGGAATCACAGTAAAGCCAATTAAGATTTTTAGTTAAATGTGTTATAATTTTGTCTTTTGACACAAGTAAAGTGCCTTCCTGAATTCTGTCATTTGCTCTAGAGAATCACGAAGCCCAGTGAGAGGTCTTGGAGCATCTGCCTTTGTAACCAAGTTGGGTAGAAGTACAAGAGGCTGGGAGCCCTGGGTTTGTGTCTACCGAGGGAAGATGTTATGAGGAGCTGAGCCATTGACTGTGGATCTGGACTGACACCAGTGGTACAGGACTCCAGCTGGTGTCAGAAAAGGGTAAGTACAGGACTCCAGCTGGTGTTGAAGAATTGGTTGTTGTTGGAAAAAGCTCTTCAGTGAAAATGTAAAGAGGTAAACTTTAAAAATTAAAAATAAGGGCTGGGGATTTAGCTCAGCGGCACAGTGCCTGCCTGGCAAGTGCAAGGTCATGAGTTTGATTCCCGGTACCGGAAAAAAACAAAAACAAAAACAAAAACAAAAACAAAAACAAAGAAAAAAATTAAAAATAAGTAAATGTGCATCTGCTTACTTCTGCAAAAAGACAAGAAAAGCCAAACTAAAAAACTAATAAGACTGATTTCCTTCAGTGGGTGGGGATGGAGTGGGACAGGATGTCTTATCTGAGAAACCCTTTTGTATAGTTTCATCTTTTGGAATCATGTCAAATATAGACTAAAAATCAGCAAAATGGGGAGGGGCCTAAAATGGAACACAAACAGTAATTAAACCTCTAATTGCATGTCAAATGAATAATATAACTGCACTAATGTGGAAAAAACAACTAACCCAAGTAACCTTTGAGCTTGTACTTAGACTATATGGCTTCAGATTGAACAATTAAAAAAAAACTCTAAGCAAATACCTAAGTCTAGTGTGCTGGCTTGTTTTTTTATTGTGGCTTATATATAATTCAAATATATTCTGAGATTGAGCAAGTAAATATAGGAAAATTAACAGCAACTGGTTCCTTCTTGTTGGAGAAGTTGGGAGTTTTAACTATGGGAAGAGAAGACTGGAGCAGATCCTGAGGTTCTGCATTGGATTGGAAGTGTCACATGAACTCATGGAGATTTTAAATGTGTGTGTGAGCCTGTGTGTGCAGAGAAATGAGATGCAGGGTGTGTGTGTGTGTGTGTGTGTGTGTGTGTGTGTGTGTGCACATTTCTTCCAGCTGTATCCACTGAGTGCCTAGAAGGAAAGTGGACACCCAGAACCCACGTCCTGGATGGTTCCCAACACCATAGAGATGGTCCTGGGTTTCCATCCAAATCTTTCAGCTCCACTTGAGATAAGAGGGGACTCCTCCAGGGATTTGGACCAACTGTGGGTTCCCAGGCCTCAAAGCTCAGCACCTCTCACACTTAAGGAAGGACACCAAGTAACACTGGCCCCTCCTGCTCAGAGCTGCTTCCTCTGGCCCCTGAGCGACCCAGGCCCTATCACAGTCCTAACTCCCCGAGCTGGAGCTTGGCTCCCACTAGGACACAGGGAGGAAAGGATCAAAGAATAGGTGCTTCAGTGGGTGGAGTGAGGGAGGGGCATGGACCCAGCACACCCAGGTGGCAGAAAGAACTGAGGTCACAAAGACAGAATATGGTGTCAGAGTTGGGGTAGGGTTCCCCCGTAGCTCCCTGGAGCTGATGTAGATCCAACACCCCTCACCCTCAGCCCTACTCCATCTCATTCCAGAAACCCAGACCTTGGTGCTGGGGGTGGGGGCTTCCAGGAGGTGCTAGCTAGCATCCCCCATCTTCCATTCCCCACTCAAGCACAGCCTTCATTCATTTCTTCATTAGTTCATTCATGTCTATGGGTGACTTGTCTGGAGCCAGGAACTGAGAGTAAGTGCTTCCCAGGACTACGAGCCCACAGTAGGAGCCTGATGCTCCTGTGGGATGGGAGAGCCAAGGGAACCAGGTGCACCACGAGGCAGATGGTGGGGGACGCAGCAAAATGTAGGGCTGGCTAATAGTCAGGGACAATCCAGGACCCCCAGTTCCCTTGGGTGGATATGAGCTCCTTCCACTGTAGCTGAAGAGGGCAACTGGACCATGACAAGGCCCTGTCCATGTAGGGAAGTTGCCCTTAGGTTCAGGTGCACAGGAGCCTGGGCACCTTCTCATCCATGCCGATCCCTGCTCCCGAGCTTCAGGAGCAGGATCCATCAAGGGTCCCTCTGTGCCTGCAGGTAAGCAGAAAAACAGCCCAGCCGAAGTGAACGAAGACGCAGAGAAGAAATGAAGACCCAGGTAGACATGAGTTTTTACTTACGGAAAAGCGACAAAGCTAGAGGCCCACCGAGGGCGGGGGCATCAGCGAGGTGTCTGGGGGAAAGGGCACAAACACAAGATAGGAGAGCGGCAGGCGACTCACTGGTCACAGGAGTTGGCAGGGGATGCTGCAAGATAGAGGGGCAGAGGCTGATAGCTGGTGGGCCGATCCTGGCGTCTAAAAACCGCCCCTGCCACCCCTACCCCTTAACCTGGGCAGAAAGAGGAGCTAGCAGGCCCTTCTCCCAGCTTTACCGGCTTGTTCCGCCCCTGAGTCCTCCACCCTCCCTCCAGGTCCTTGAGACCTGACAGCTCCCGCTCCTCCCCCTCCCCTGACCTGGACTCGCTCTGCCCCTGAGGCCCCAACCCAGCCCCATCCCTGCTTCTCTATAAGCGCTCAGAGGTGGGGTGGCGGGTGTGGGAGCACAAGCGCCAGTGTAACGCTCTAGTCTCGACGTCCTGTGTAGAAAACGGCGGACCCCTGACTCAGAAAAGGCGGCAGGAGGCCAGAGAGAGGCTCAGTATTAGACACACTTACCCCGGGCCGGCCGGCAGGGCGCGCGTCGGTCACTGAGGGGCTGGTGGTGGCGAGCTGGCCACAGCCTTCCACACCTCTTCCTTCTCGCCCTTGGCCGAGGGCTTTCCAGGTTGCTCCGTGGTCGCCAC